GACGGCAGTGGATGCTTATGATTTGTCGTCGGTGAGGATGGTTATATCTGGGGCGGCGCCGATGGGGAAGGAGCTTGAGGATGCTATTCGGGAAAGGATGCCGAATGCAATGATCGGTCAGGTGGGGGGCTGATTCGTTTTCTTTTTAAATTATGATTTAATTAAATGATTTTTATCGTATTTTTATGATAAAAGTTTTACTTGACAATTATATGAGTTCATTCTAATTAAATTTAAGTTGTGATTGAAATTTTTTTGAAATTTTACTCTTTGGATGTTTATTTTATAGTGCAATTTTTATCAGTATTTCTGAATTTGTCTCCAAATCAAAGTAATTGGCTCGATTAGGAGTGTAACTATTGTGAGTCTAGTTCGAGTCATCCTTGACTTGAGCTTGAGCTTGTGCTTGTGCTTGTGCTTGTGCTTGAGCTTGATTAATTTTATCGTGTTTGAGCTGGAGCAGGAACTTAAGCATAGGACTTAGAGAAATCACCTGTTATAAAATATAAAATATTATTTTTAATCTTTTTTAATATTTTAAAGTTAAAGTTTTCAAATTTAATTTAATTTGAGTATATTTTATATTAATATATTTTTTTAGAAGAGTAGGGTCACGAATTAACGAGTTGAGTCGGGTTAGCCTGAGCTTGGTTTTTTAGCTCATGAAGTTCAGTTCGCGAGCCAGCTCATAACTCGGCTTGACCTACTTATACACTTAGGCTCAATCTTAATTTGCATTACTTTTGCAGGGCTATGGGATGACAGAAGCTGGTCCGGTGATATCATTTTGTATGTCTTTTGCAAAGGAGAAAATGGACTCGAAGCCGGGATCATGCGGCATGGTGGTGAGGAACGCTGAGCTAAAGGTGGTGGATCCACGCACTGGAGCATCTCTCCATCGTAACCAACGTGGAGAGATTTGTATTAGAGGAGAAAATATCATGAAAGGTATGTTTTTCAAGTGATATGTATATAAATATATTAATTTTATATTGTATATGATCATTAATTAATCGCATCTTTCAGGCTATTTAAATGATAAATTATCGACCGAGAGCACTATAGACAAGGAGGGGTGGCTTCACACTGGAGATATTGGATATGTTGATGACGACGATGAGATCTTCATTGTTGATAGGCTTAAGGAGATCATCAAGTACAAGGGATTCCAGGTGGCTCCAGCTGAAATTGAAGCCTTGCTTCTCACCCATGAACATGTCGCAGATGCTGCTGTTGTCCCGTATGTTGTTCTTAACTCTATATCTAAATATAAGCTAATTAATTATCTATGATAAATTTTTCTTTAGGTTTATTAGCCATCTATTTTGCATGCAGAATGAAAGATGAGGCTGCTGGTGAGGTGCCTGTAGCTTTTATTGTGAGAGCAAAGGGATCCGACATCAGTGAGGATGATGCAAAGCGCTACGTGGCTAAACAGGTAATTAATTAATAGCTTAGGCTCCCTTTGGGACAATTTATCCTTTGCGGCGGTGTTTTCAAAATGTCGTCTCACCGTTTGTAAACTGCGTTTGAACAGCTTATCTGAAA